CTAGGTCTAGTGGTTTCAGATCAGGACCTGGTCTAATGTGGTCAGGATGCGAAAAAAGCACTGAAATCTCCCTTTTTTGTATTTTCACAAATAGAATAAAGGTTTCACAAATCTGAAACTGGGTTATAAAGAATCTTTAGACTCTCTGGGATAATCCAGTCCAAATAAATCGGCTATGCAGCGATTTAAGAGGTTCAAACACGGAGGATTGTTCGCTCAGCGCTGTAAATTAAATGTCCCTTAACTTTCCCCTTAACTGCCGAATCGGATGCTCTGAATCGGACGCCAACTTCAGCGTCGTCCAGAGTTGAAGGGCTGTGAATGTTGGTAGTTGTGGTTGCTTTTGTTTAAATATGCAGAATTGTGATATTATGGGTTATTATTGTTCAGATGATTTAGCTAGGCTAGCTAAGAGCTGCTAACGTCAGCGGTCTCTTGTTGCCATAGCAACAGTAAACGTTCACATGGACCAACGAGCTGTAAGTAGAGATGCAGAATCAAGCTGTATTGTAAATACAGATGAGATACTTTGAATTTGAGCACAAAATACAAGTAAACCTATAGGAAATAATTAGTTTAATTTGCAATATTTGCCATTGAATTTATTGTAATCTTTCAATTCATTTATTGTTTACTGAGGTGATAACTATTTCATAATTTGTGTGTAACTTTAATTTCTGTGTAAATGTGCATTTTCAGGTATTGTCACAAAGATCTGACTTGTTTGCATTGGAAAACACTAGTAAGTGTCATAATGAAAACATGGCAAAGCCACTAGTGTTGTTACGCTCGCGAACGTTTCGTTCAATATGAACTAATCTTTTATCTTGTACATTATTCTGTGGTTTTGAGTTATTTCCCCATCCAATGATAAATGCTTTTCCTATGTCCAGCCCAGACAGGTTCAGGGCAAGTCCAGCTGGTCAGTTCAGGGAGAGAGCCAGACCAATTCAGGCAGCCCAAACACTGCACCACCTGAGAGGGAAAAGGCTGTAGAGAGTGAGAAGTATGTCAGCCCAAAGGCTGGATCACCTGAGAGGGAAAAGGCTGTAGAGAGTGAGGAGTATGTCAGCCCAAAGACTGGATCACCTGAGAGGGAAAAGGCTGTAGAGACTGAAGAGTATGTCAGCCCAAAGACTGGATCACCTGAGAGGGAAAAGGCTGTAGAGAGTGAAGAGTATGTCAGCCCAAAGACTGGATCACCTGAGAGGGAAAAGGCTGTAGAGAGTGAGGAGTATGTCAGCCCAAAGACTGGATCACCTGAGAGGGAAAAGGCTGTAGAGAGTGAGGAGTATGTCAGCCCAAAGACTGGATCACCTGAGAGGCCCAAAGGGCACTGATCACCTGAGAGGGAAAGGCCTGTATGTTGTAGAGAGGATGAGTATGTCAGCCCAAAGACTGGATCACCTGAGAGGGAAAAGGCTGTAGAGAGTGAGGAGTATGTCAGTCCAAAGACAGGATCAACTGAGAGGGAAAAGGCTGTTAGAGAGTGAGGAGTATGTCAGCCCAAAGACAGGATCACTGAGAGGGAAAAGGCTGTTGTAGAGAGTGAAGAGTATGTCAGCCAAAGACTGGATCACCTGAGAGGGAAACAAGGCTTGTAGAGAGTGAGGAGTATGTCAGCCCAAAGACTGCACCACCTGAGAGGGAAAAGGCTGTAGAGACTGAGGAGTATGTCAGCCCAAAGACTGCACCACCTGAGAGGGAAACAGCTGAAGAGAGTGAGGAGTGTGTCAGCCTAAAGACTGGATCACCTGAGAGGGAAACAGCTGAAGAGAGTGAGGAGTATGTCAGCCTAAAGACTGGATCACCTGAGAGGGAAAAGGCTGTAGAGAGTGAGGAGTGTGTCAGCCTAAAGACTGGATCACCTGAGAGGGAAACAGCTGAAGAGAGTGAGGAGTATGTCAGCCTAAAGACTGGATCACCTGAGAGGGAAAAGGCTGTAGAGAGTGAAGAGTATGTCAGCCCAAAGACAGGATCACCTGAGAGGGGAAAAGGCTGTAGAGAGTGAAGAGTATGTCAGCCCAAAGACTGGATCACCTGAGAGGGAAAAGGCTGTAGAGAGTGAAGAGTATGTCAGCCCAAAGACTGGATCACCTGAGAGGGAAAAGGCTGTAGAGAGTGAGGAGTGTGTCAGCCTAAAGACTGGATCACCTGAGAGGGAAAAGGCTGTAGAGAGTGAGGAGTATGTCAGCCTAAAGACAGGATCACCTGAGAGGGAAAAGGCTGTAGAGAGTGAGGAGTAGTGTCAGCCTAAAGACTGGATCACCTGAGAGGGAAACAGCTGAAGAGAGTGAGGAGTGTGTCAGCCTAAAGACAGGATCACCTGAGAGGGAAAAGGCTGTAGAGAGTGAGGAGTGTGTCAGCCTAAAGACAGGATCACCTGAGAGGGAAAAGGCTGTAGAGAGTGAGGAGTATGTCAGCCCAAAGACAGGATCACCTGAGAGGGAAACAGCTGAAGAGAGTGAGGAGTGTGTCAGCCCAAAGACAGGATCACCTGAGAGGGAAAAGGCTGTAGAGAGTGAGGAGTATGTCAGCCTAAAGACAGGATCACCTGAGAGGGAAAGGCTGTAGAGAGTGAGGAGTGTGTCAGCCTAAAGACAGGATCACCTGAGAGGGAAACAGCTGAAGAGAGTGAGGAGTGTGTCAGCCTAAAGACAGGATCACCTGAGAGGGAAAAGTCTGTAGAGAGTGAGGAGTGTGTCAGCCTAAAGACAGGATCACCTGAGAGGGAAAAGGCTGTAGAGAGTGAGGAGTATGTCAGCCCAAAGACTGGATCACCTGAGAGGGAAACAGCTGTTGAGAGCTATGAGTGTGCCAGTCAAATAACAGATTTTTTTTCACAACCTGATCAGAAAAATCTCCAGTCATTTTTAAATGACCATCCTCAGCAAAAAAGTAGCAATCCAGTGGTGCAGAAAGTGTTCTGTAGCAGAGACGGCACCAGTAGAAGGTGGCTGACGTGCTGTCCAGAGCGTCACATGCTGTATTGTTTCATCTGCATGGCATTCGGTAAGAGAACTGATAGCAGTCTGTTCATCAGTGGAATGTCAGATTGGAGGCATATACAACAGCGCACAGAGGAGCATGAGAGAAGCAGTGCACACAGAAACTGTGCTGAAGCTTACCTCTTGAAATCCGCCAGTGCTGATATCAGCAGTGTGTTTGGTGGCAGTCAGATGTCGGCGCACAGAGAGCAGGTCAGAAAGAGACGGCAGGTTTTGGAGCGCATCATAGATGTCATCAAGGTTCTTGGGAAGAGGGGGCTTGCATACAGGAGGTCAAAAAATGAGGCAGCATATACTCTGGAAGACCACACAGTTGATCATGGTAATTTCTTGGAACTCATACTTCTACTGGGGAAGTATGATTTCTGTTTAAAAGAGCACCTGGACAGCTGCATTGAGAACAGCAAAAAGTTGCATTTGTCTGGTGGCACGAGAGGCAGAGGCTCCTTTGTAACTTTACTCTCCAAAACCACAGTGAACTCATTGATAGATGCAATTCACCATCTGATTCAAGAAAACATCTCCAGTGATATCAAGAAAGCAGGAATGTTTTCAGTGCAGCTGGACACAACGCAGGACATCACCTCTCAGGATCAATGCTCTATAATCATGAGGTATGTTACTGATGTTGTTCATGAGAGGCTTGTTGCAGTGCTGAAGTGCAGTTCATCCACTGGACAGGCCTTTGTCAACATGCTGTCAGAGGTTCTGGACAAAATGGGCCTCAGCAAGACCATGTGCATTGGAAATGCGACTGATGGGGCATCAAACATGCAAGGCCAATACAAAGGATTCTCCTCACTGTTGTCTGCACAATCTCCAAACCAGGTGCATGTGTGGAAAAATCCTATGAGGTGAATGTGCATAACCGGATCATGGACAATTGAAGCCATTCATAGGTGCTTTTTAACACACGGCAATCTATATGCTGACTTGGCATGTCTGGATCCCAGTGCTCTTCCCTCAGCTCTGCACCAGTGCTCTTCCCCAGTCTGCCCTTCAAGACTTAAGCAAGTGCTTGCAAGGATTTGACAGCAGGGCAACCAAGGAAAATCTGCAGGCCGAGTTGAAAAGCTTTGCACACCAGTGGAACAGGCTGAAGGCATCCCCATTGGCAGAGTACAAAGCAAGAACAGTAGAAGATGGATCAGGTGGTGAGGAGGAGGACAACAAAGAAAAGGTTGAGATAACTCCCATAAGCTGTTGCTCCTGCAAAGAATGCCCTCTGTGCTGCTACCAGATACTTCGCCGTTTCAACATGCTAACAGATGCATACCCTGTCCTAGGCCTTGCTTATAAATACCTGCTTACATTATCCCTCACACAGGTGGCTTGTGAGCGCACATTTTCAATTTTGAAGTTTATTCAAAACAGACTCAGAAGCACCCTCTCATCTGATAAATTGGAGGCATTTATGTTGATGGCCACAGAGAAAGACATCCTCATGGCCTTGGACTCTGACTCTGTGATAGACAGACTTGCAGAGAAGAGTGAACTGCTTAAAAAGCTGCTCCACTGATAAGGCGAGAAATATTTCATATTATTGTTATTATCACACATCACACATTATGGATGTAGTAATTCATTATTTGTCATTTGAATGATGCTTTTCAGAAGTGTTATTGTGCTCATGTGTTGATCCTTAATGGTGTGATCATGTACACTAAATGATCAATTATTCTCCACTACAGGTTGTTCTGATATATTTGAGGAGTCGTTCTCCCTCTGTTCTATATGTGGACTTGTTCTCTCATTTGGACCACTGTTAGAATTTGGTAAGTTTATCATGTATTTTTTAATGTTGTATAAATTCATACTTCATAATTTTAACAAAGTTTTGAAAGAAACGCACATCCCAAAAGTTTTCAACTCTAGGTGCAGGACAGAGGAAAACATTTTATTTATTTTTCAGACTTAATAATGTATCCAATTCCCTCTCAGGTTGACCACTTGACATGTGAGAGCTTGAGGAGTTGTTCCCCCTCTGTCCATGTTCGAGGACTTGCTCTCTCTCTGCCTCCACTCTCTGCCTTCACTGCACCAAAGTTTGGCTGTTGAGTCTCCTCTAGTATGGTGAGTTTATCATTTGTTATGTTTTATGAAATCATACTTAATTTGTGATGATTAGAGACTTAATAATGTATCCAATTCCCTCTCAGGTTGACCACTTGACATGTGAGAGCTTGAGGAGTTGTTCCCCCTCCGTCCATTTTCAAGGATTTGCTCCCTTACTGCCTCCACTTCACCACTTTTTGGCTACTGAGAAGTCTATGATTAGTTGAGTATGTCATGTGTCTTATAATGTTATATGAATTCATACTTGATTTGTGATGATGAGAGACTTAATAATGTTTCCATGTCTCTTTTAGGTTGACCACCCTATACAGTATATGAGAGCCTAATAAGTTGTTTTCCCTCTGTCCCCTTTTGAGGACCTGCTTTGTCTCCTCCATCATTCACTGGGCCACTTTTGGGTTCCTGGGCTTATTTCATGTGGTGAGAGGAATGAAATATGTGTATGTTTAAAGGTTTATGTGAAGAAACATACTATATGTGTGATAAAATGACAATTGGTAATTCATAAATGTCTCTTTATATTCTCTGCTACCATTATCTCCTGTCAAACAGGTTTTCCTGACCTGCTAGAAGTTCTTCTATGATGCTTGAGTCATCCATCATATCTGAGAGCTTCGTCTTGACTTTGTGAGTTTATTATGCAACTTGTTTTGTCTCAGATTGAAACAAAAGGTTTGATTATGATTATTTCCTGGCTGAAGATTTTCATATTGATGGTTTTAATTTCAAACATCTGCATATCTTTTAAGTTCAATTAACAGTTATGCAGGTAGGCCTTAGGGCTCTTTTGAGACTTAAGTCATCCTTCATGACAGATACATTTGTTCACTAAGTGTCACTACGTCACAAAAAGGCTACATGGCTACATATACTTGTCAGTACACAGATACTGAGTACAAGTTCTGTTTGCTGTTTCTTGCAGGTCACGAATTTGGTGAGGAGTGGAGCTGGCTGGCTGCGGACGAGGAAGTAGAGCAATACATACTTGTGCACATACACGTATATGCAGGGGTGAAAGTGGTTTGAATTTCTTGCAGGTACTATAATGCTACCCCGACCTTCATTGGTTCATATTGTTCTCCTCCCGCCCCCAGCTTCATGCATCCCTGAACACAAACTTCACATTTTTAATGCCTTTATGGGGTAGAAATTAGAAACACTTGACAATATGTGACCCGCTCTATCGAAATTAGTCGGAAGTCACAACGGCTCATTTCAAAATAAATGTGGATTTACGTAAAAAACAATTTTTTTCGGGGTTCGGGTGTTTTGTTTGATTTTAAACAAACAAAGGCTTGGCTTTCAGAATATGAAACTTTTATTTCCAAAATCACACGATAAATACATTTTTGAAGCTTGTCAAGGGACGAATACAGGCACCTCTCCCTCACAATCTGCTCTTCCGCAGCGCCGCCCCCCTCCCTCCGGCTGAAATTATGAAAGAGTATAGTAATCATAGATAACACGGCAGGGTCCGTTACAGTTTGTTTTCATCTGATTTCAATTAAACAAAGTCTTGGCTTTCAGAATATTAAACTTGTTTCGGCAAATTCAGATGATAAATACAACTTTGAAGCTTTTCACGGCATAATTACAAGCGGAGAACGGAGCAACTTAATGTCACAGCAGGCATAATAACAGCCGGTGTTTCTCGTGAGTGTTTCCCCCGGGAAACAAACACAATACGGACAAACGCAAAAATACACAAACACAAACACACACACACACACACACACACACACACACACACACACACACACACACACACACACACGAGCTTCCCCCAGACCAGTAATCCAAACCAAATATCTTCCCTTCGTAGTATACATTCCACGGGTGGAGCTGTCAATTATTCCTGGTCCTCCGGACCGCCTGGAAATCTCTTACCGGTACTAAGGACCGGGTAGGACCGGCACACTTTCAACACTGCGTATATGAGAATGCATATCTATTCAGACCTGTAACCCATGTCTTAGACTTTTCACACAGCTATATATATATATTAATGCTGTCAAAATTATCGCGTTAACGGCGGTTATTAATTTTTTGAATTAATTGCGTTAAAATATTTAACGCATTTAACGCAGAATGGCCCGCCCCATACGTGCCACCAGTGGCAGCGGGGTAGGCTACACCCATACCAAGAAATGGCTTATCCCCACCATGAAAAATTATGTTAAAGTAAGCAAAATAAAGTCCGCCAACTCGCGCCGAGAATTGCACAGACAGCAGTTAGTAAGATTGATTTCAGTAGCCACCTGTCTGGAAATACCGAAGACCAGAAACGGTTTTGAAAACTTTTGTCACGTAGTGATCGTCTTCTCAATAGAACATCTTTGATAATGTCTTCTGGCCAATCAGAATCAAGATAACGGCGTGGTGTTGTTGCAGGAAGTCCCGACGGAGAATACTTTTGCTGTAGTACAGGGGTGCACATAACTGGTACGCAGGTTATGTGCGTAATCTGAAATGCGTACTGTCACTTGTGTCACAAAGTGCATTTGCGTACCGACGTACTTGTGAAGCTTTTCCAGAAGGCGGTTAGATCACCGGACGACAGAGTCGGTCTCCGTGTGCACAGACAGGGCTGCTGTTAACGTCGGTCTGTACAACGGAATTGTGCCAAAACTACGCCAACCGGCTGCGGAGGGAGACTCCCCCCCCCCCCCCCTTCACTGGAGAACTGCGCTAAAACAGCTGATCACAACGTTCACACTCTGTGGTCACGAAGTACTCCACTAGCCGCCGCCGCCCCCCCCCCCCCCCCTCTGTCGACTTTCCTGAAGTACTCCCGTTGGAACAAAAGCACCAAGGAAAACACGTCGGCAACGGCGGTCAGAGAAACACGCTTGGTCACCTGTACCTGGTGAAATGCCTGGCAATGCTTTGTCAAATGTAAAGTGGGAAATACCAGCGAATATGACCATATTGCAACAGTCTGATCCCTTGTTAAAGTCTGTGCTAACCAAGGTGTTAAACTCAGCCAATCAAACCGCGCTAGTAGGTGGTGCAGCATACTTTCTCCACAATGACCTGCCGTTGATAGAAATCTACACGTAATGAATTAAGACCCCACGGTTTGATGATTGATAGGTGTGTGGGCTATCCTTAATTTTGACACGCAGAACAATGTTATAATAAACATAGATACTGTATGTTAAATGGATATATCCGCCTTCTTTCATTTATCTTTCCATTCCCACAACAATATACATAAATAAATGGCATATTTTGGACATAGTTCGAATGGTGATTAATCATGATTAATTAATTTTTAAGCTGTGATTAATCTGATTAAAAATTGTAATCGTTTGACAGCCCTAATATATATATATATATATTTTTTTTTTCTTCCAATTATCTATTTATGGTTTCATAATGACTGTGTCACCGTTGAGTGAGTGAGTTTCAGCTCTAATGCTGCTACTGTCTGTAATATGTTTCTATTTAGATTATTTGTCAGGATATTTTTTTGTTATTATTGTCCGAGTCTGGTTTTAACTAATACTGGGCTTACACCAAAAGATTTTCACAGTCACAGACTAAAAACTGAAAGGGTATCATAAGGGTTCTTCCCGTTAGTCTTGTCCCACCCCTAGTCATGACATAACTTCTGTTGTGATTTGACACTATAATGAATAAAGATTGATTGATTGATTGCTATAGCTGTCAATTTTAGTCCTTTAGTTCATAGTTAAGTGCTTTATTTGTTAACTGCTATCAAGGAATATGACTCTCCTTTGTAGTATGCATGAGTGAAAATGCCGCGAGATTAGTGGACTTCTATGTAGTGTCCGCTGATAATGTAGTGGGCTGGTCTGGACAGAAAATGCCAAGGCTGAATTTTTGTCCCAGTCCACCCCTGGGTGGAGGTATGCCCATTACTTTGAGTTCGTCCGAAGAATAGACAGGAATGTGACGGTGAGGTGCAAACTGTGTCCAGGCCAGAAGCTGTTATCCACTGCTGTAAACACCACGTCAAACCTCAACAAACACCTGCAAAGAACACATGCTAAGGTGAAGCTAACGCACAGCTATTTGTTTGTTTATATCACGTCGTCTGTTCTTCTTCTCTGTCTTCCGGTTGTTGCCTGTTTTGAATGACAAATACACACTACCGCCGCCTGCTGGTAAGGAAAGTTATTGCCACTCACGCGCAGTTCGTACGTGCTCGGCGAGTAAAGTAACGAGTTACTCTATGTAGATAGTAACGAAGTAGTGTAATATATTACTTTTTTTTTAAAAAGTAATATGTAATATATACAAATGTTTTAGTAACGACCCCATCTCTGGAGTTGGCGTTCTCTATTCTGATTTACATGAAGAACAACCGGAGGTCACGGCTCTCTGTTGAACAGGACTTGCGAGTGGCCCTCTCCTCAGTGTCACCAAGGATTAAAAAATTCTGCGTGCCCCGACAGGCACATGTATCTCACTAATTTGTAAGTGGGCAAAAATATTTACAATAGCACATGTTTCAATGCTGATTGCTGAAATGTTACATTTATAATTTGTAGTTCAGGACCATGGACAATGCAGCTTCCTTGCATTGACAGTTCTCTGTGCTGAATTTCTGCTGAGTTTCCTTTGCCTCATTTTTTATTTTGTGACCTGTTTGGTTTCAATGAGTGTGTTGCTGCTTTGATGAAGCCTAATTTGATAAAGTTTCAAATTAATTTCTAAAATATTTCGTTAATAAATATTTCATGAGTAATATAGTTGTCTTTGTCACATTTTATTTGGCATTAGTAAATAATTATGCACATTTACAGATATTTTACATGATATGAGTGATAACACGTGTTATAAGGGCTATTTTGCACAATAGGTGTACCTTGAGATTTTTACTTGTCCTTTGGTGTGCCGTGGGCACAACAAGTTTGGGAACCACTGCTCTAGACTGAATTATAAGATGAACCACCACAATATTATATTGTACAATTTCAATTGTATTCTTCATTTCACTTGTTTGTTTGTTCTTGTTTGTGTGTGCTCGCTTGCATGCCCTGCATAGCTATAAGAAATACTTAAGTTGTTGGTCAAGACACTTTCCATCTGATGAAGGCAAATGCCTTCCCAGATGTAAAAAAGTAGAAAACATTACATTCAGTTATAACTGCCAAAACAAACATTATTTACACTATTATGGCCCCTGTTAAAAATGTTTGTAATGTTATCTACTGTAAATTGGTCGAACGAATGCCTCCTCATCCGGAAGCTGACCGAGCAGACCCGAGCAGCAGTTGAGAGGAGCCAAGCGCATCCGCGAAGCACACAAAATGGTGACGTCAGAGTTCCCGTTAGCCGGCAAATCTAAATCTCTTCGGTCAAAATCATTTCCCTTTAGCGCAATACCGCTTCAGTCCCTTTCAAGATTTCAAGATTTTCTAAGGTTTATTGACATATCATATACACAAACAGTGTAGTTATGCAATGAATGAAAAACTTAGGTCGCAGGTTCCTCAATAGTGCATTACAAGACATCTATCAATATTTGTGCATACCTCCAGCAATGTTAACCCTTCTCTTGCGTTTCGGGTCAAAAGTGACCGAATGACTTTTGTTTTAATCATAAATATTGTGTTTTTCATCCAATTGCCTCAATACCTTATGTTACACTGTAAAATATTACCATGATTTCACAATATTTAGCTGTAATATTTTACAATAAATTACTGTTTTACCACTTTACAGTCTTTACCTGTAATGTTCACAATATCACACTGTAATTTAGAATTTCACAGTGAAATCAATACAGGCACAGTTAATTACTGTGAATGTACAGGATCAATGATTACCAGGATTTCACAACATGTTACTGTATTATTTCATAGTAAAATACTGTATTCAGACCATCCTCTGTGATAACACAACAAATTAAGTGATTTTCTTGCTTTTATCGCTCTTGCTTGGCTTTAAATACTAATTTCTTTCTTTGGTGCAGGTTTTACTTAAATTGAAAGGGGCACCGCTGCATGTGCCTTAAAATAAATGAGGCAACATATACATCTATGTAAAATTGAAATGGTTGTCTTGGCTTATTGTTTTCAGGTGCATCCTGGGCATTAATCCTGAGACGGGCTGGAAAGCCAAAAAGAGGCATGGCAATTTAAACCCCCATGTCAGCACATTCTTCAGAAAAATTGTTGACT